CGAGACTGAGGCTGAAGCAGGCTGAGGCTGAGGCAGAGGCAGGCTGAGGCTGAGGCTGAGGCAGGCTGATGCTGAGGCAGGCTGAGGACTGAGGCTTAGGCTGATGCAGGGTGAGGCTGAGGCAGGCTGAGGCTGAGGCCGAGGCTGAAGGCAGACTGAGGCTGAGGCTGAAGCAGGCTGAGGCTGAGGCTGAGGCTGAGGCAGGCTGAGGCTGAGGCAGAGGCAGGCTGAGGCTGAGGCAGGTTGAGGCTGAGGCTGAGGCCGAGGCTGAGGCTGAAGGCAGACTGAGGCTGAGGCTGAGGCAGGCTGAGGCTGAGGCTGAGGCTGAGGCAGGCTGAGGCTGAGGCTGAGGCAGGCTGATACTGAGGCAGGCTGATGCTGAGGCAGGCTGAGGCTGAGGCTGATGCAGGCTGAGGTCTAAGCAGGCTGAGGCTGCGGCCGAGGCTGAAGGCAGACTGAGACTGAGGCTGAAGCAGGCTTAGGCTGAGGCTGAGGCAGGCTGAGGCTGAGGCTGAGGCAGGCTGAGGCTGAGGCAGAGGCAGGCTGATGCTGAGGCAGGCTGAGGCTGAGGCTGAGGCTGATGCTGATGTAGGCTGAGGCTGAGGCAGGCTGAGGCGCCGAGGCTGAAGGCAGATTGAGGCTGAGGCTGAAGCAGGCTGAGGCTGAGGCAGAGGCAGGCTGAGGCTGAGGCTGAGGCAGGCTGATGCTGAGGCAGGCTGAGGCTGAGGCTGAGGCTGATGCAGGCTGAGGCTGAGACAGCCCGAGGCTGATGGCAGACCGAGACTGAGGCTGAAGCAGGCTGAGGCTGAGGCTGAGGCAGGCTGAGGCTGAGGCTGAGGCAGGCTGATGCTGAGCTGAGGCAGGCTGAGGCTGATGCAGGCTGAGGCTGAGGCAGGCTGAGGCTGGCTGAGGCCGAGGCTGAAGGCAGACTGATGCTGAGGCTGAAGCAGGCTGAGGCTGAGGCTGAGGCAGGCTGAGGCTGAGGCTGAGGCAGGCTGATGCTGAGGCAGGCTGAGGCTGAGGCTGAGGCTGAGGCAGGCTGAGGCTGAGGCAGGCTGAGGCTGAGGCCGAGGCTGAAGGCAGACTGAGGCTGAAGCAGGCTGAGGCTGAGCAGGCTGAGGCTGAGGCTGAGGCAGGCTGAGGCTGAGGCAGGCTGAGGCTGAGGCTGAGGCAGGCTGAGGCTGAGGCAGGCTGAGGCTGAGGCCGAGGCTGCAGGTAGACTGAGGCTGAGGCTGAAGCAGGCGGAGGCTGAGGCTGAGGCAGGCTGGGGCTGAGGCTGAGGCTGAGGCTGAGGCAGGCTGATGCTGAGGCAGGCTGAGGCAGGCTGAGGCTGAGGCAGGCTGAGGCTGAGGCAGGCTGAGGCTGAGCCAAGGCCGACGGCAGACTGAGGCTGAGGCTGAAGCAGGCTGAGGCTGAGGCTGAGGCTGAGGCTGAGGCTGAGGCAGACTGATGCTGAGGCAGGCTGAGGCTGAGGCTGAGGCTGAGGCTGAGGCTGAGGCTGATGCTGAGGCTGGCTGATGCTGAGGCTGGCTGAGGCTGAGGCTTAGGCTGATGCAGGCTGAGGCAGAGGCAGGCTGAGGCTGAGGCTGAGGCAGGCTGATGCTGAGGCAGGCTGAGGCTGAGGCTGAGGCTGATGCAGGGTGAGGTTGAGACAGGCTGAGGCTGAGACCGAGGCTGAAGACAGACTGATGCTGAGGCTGAAGCAGGCTGAGGCTGAGGCTGAGGCAGGCCGAGGCTGAGGCAGGCTCAGGCTGAGGCTGTGACTGCGACTGCCGTTGCCGCTGCGACTGTCATCGCGAATGCGACTACGACTGCAGAATTCTACAACTGGATTCTCATCTGAATCTAAGGGGAATGCTTCCAGATATGCTCCTACACATCGCTGTTAGGTTGCGTTGCCGGGATACTATCTATAGATATATATATGTTTAAACATCCTATATCAAAAACTTGCCCTGTAGGGAATGGACGTCCGAGCGATGGCGAGTTCGTGGGATGGATCGTTGGGACGACGGTAGTCGGCCTGGGCCCGCCCTCGTCTTCACGGCTGGACTTCTTTGTTTCTCGATGAGAATCCGATACGATCCAAGCCTTGCGATTGTTGGACCACGAAAAAACACACACACAATCACACACACAATCACACACACAATCACACACACAATCACACACACAATCACACACACAATCACAATCACACACAATCACACACAATCACACACAATCACACACAGTCACACACAATCACACACAATCACACACAATCACACACAATCACACACAATCACACACAATCACACACAATCACACACAATCACACACAATCACACACAATCACACACAGTCACACACAATCACACACAATCACACACAATCACACACAATCACTCCACTGGATGGCTCCTGGGCCCCAGGGGAGGCTTAGGGGAGCAAGACGTGACATGAACAGAAAAACTCAGAGGTCCGCGCGGATTTCTCGGATCGGCGCTGGGCCCCCCCCGGCGGCGCCTCCGGCGCCGCCCCTGGCACGGTCCGCGCGCCAGGGAGGGGGGTCCAGCGCCGATCCGAGAAATCCGCCGGACCTCCGAGTTTTTATGTTTATGTAACTTCTTGCTCCCCCAAGGATGGCCGTGCACAGATCACCACTGGGAGCCAAGGACTCTGTGCACCGTCTCCTCCCTGAAGGTACGTACAAAGTTCGTCAGAGGGCGCCTGCCCAGACCTCCTACGTCGTGTTTTTTTTCATCACCTCGACCTCCAGAGGTCTAGACCCCTTCCCCGGGACCGGTTGTTCTTCCCGAGTCGTTTTTGGACGGTCCTGGGCCCGGCAAGGGCCTCCCGGGGAGCCGAAAACAGCAAAAGACTTCCTGTCGTGAATTGTTTCGCAGCGCGAGCAGGTCTGGCCGCAGTACATCTCTTCGCGGCTAGAGGACTCCTAGATGGGGTCGGAGTAGATGGGGTCCGAGGATCGCGCCGCACCGCCGATGCATCGGCGATGCATCGGCGACGCCAGCGTGGAGAAAATCAGGCTCCGCAGCGTGCCGCATCGCCGATGCATCGGCGGCGCGGCGCGATCCTCGGACCCCCCGTCGGCCCGGAGCCCGCCCGGGGGAGGCCTCGGGCGGCGCGAGGCCGCGCGCCCCGCCCGGGCCCCTGCGCGCGCGCCCCCCCCCCCCGTGGCAGGCAGCGCGGCCCTCGCCCCCGCCCGCGCCGCGGGCGCTGGCGCCGCCGCCTCGGGGGAGTGCAGCCCCCCCCCCCGCGCCGCGGGCGCTGCCGCCGCCGACCGGGGGCAGCGCCTCGGGGCGGGGCTCGAGCCCTCGACGAAGGAAGACAAGACAAGGAGAGTGGCAGAGGCATGGATAAGGGGACAAGAAAAATCACACACACAGACGCCCTCCCCAGAGGCCGGCAGGATCTTAATTTAAGATCGGGCAAGTAGTTTCTTATTTTCTAACATGCCTGATTTAAGAGAATAAGACCCTTACGTGATATCATACACATTACCATTTGTTTGCTATGTTTTTTCAGCGTTGAACCCCCATAATCCCGTTGATTCTTCGCGTCGGGAGGAGGAGTGATGGATGTGGAGGAGCAGCAGGAGGATCAGCAGCAGGGTCATCCCTCGTCTCCTAGTTCTTAGTATCTTACTCCTCTTGCTCATCTTCCCTCCCCTCCTACCTCTTCCCTTCGTCGGGCCGCCCTGGCTCGAGACCTGCATATATGCAGGTCCAGCCGCGGTGGGCCGACATCCGCCAGTGGGTCCGCCGCGTGCCCATGGCGACTCACGGGTCGAACCCCCCCCCACCCCAGACACCTCCTGATCGCCCTCCCTCCTCCCCGTGTCATCCTCATTCCTCGCCTATCCTCAATCATTCCTCCTCCTCCTCCTCCTCCTCCTCCTCCTCCTCATCTCCATCGACCTGCTCTTCATCATCCCGTTTTCCTCCTCATCATATCCCTCCTCCTCCTCCCCCTTCGCCTCCTCTTCATCATCATCATCATCAGCATCATCACCCTCATATCCTCATCCTTCTCCTCCTCATCCTCATCATCCTCTTCCTCCTCTTCGTCTTCCATGTCCTCATCCTTCCCCTCCTCCTCTTCCTCCTCTTCTTCCTCCTCCTCTTCCTCGTCCTCCTCCGCGTCCTCTTCCTCCTCCTCCTCCTCCTCCTCCTCCTACGTCGCAGTCGTCGTCGTCGTGGTACGTTGGCCTCCTCCTCATCCTCCTGCTCCTCCTCTTCCTCCTCCACCTCCAAGGCAATGACGCTGACGGGCATGGACGCCCTGGCTGACCAGGCCAGCGGGCGTACATATAAACACTAAGTTGTTGATCACTTTAATTATTTATTTTGTTTATATTCATTAAATTAGTTATGCATGTATGTATGTATGCATGTATGTATGTATGTATGCATGTAAGTATTTATGTATGTAAGTATTGATGTGTTTATTCCATTATATATGGTCCATTGCGTACCGTTGTACATGTGCATAGATGTTACCTGGTGTGTTGTTCCATCAACATGTATATATATGGGATAGCATAGTATGTTTGTTCCCGCGTGCCCGGGCATGTTTGGCTTATGTTTCCATTTCCGCGTCAAAATCCGCCTGCAGGGGGGACATGCCCGACTTGAGCCTGCCGAGGTTTCGCCTCCTGGACGTGCGCGGGCGCCTCGTGGGGGCTCCGAGTGCGGGGTGGGTCTGCAGAGGTTTCGCCTGGTGGGCGCCCGCGGGCGCACGTGGTGGGCGCCTTGCGCGCTGTACTGGGTGTGCCGAGTGGAGCACGCATGGGTGCAGTGTTGGGCCGACTTGGATCCGGTTCGGACGCGTCCAAACCGGGCCCAAATCGAGCCCGATTTGGAGGATGCAGGGGTGAGGATGATGATGATGATGAGGATGACGATCCTGATGATGAGGATGATGATGATGAGGATGATGATGATGGAGAGCATGACGGTTACACAGCACCTCCCTCCAGCACTGCCCCACCCCCCCAGGCGGCAGCGGGCGCTGCCATCGAGGGCTCGGACACGGAGGTCGAGTCCTGCACCAACCCAGGGAAGGGCATCGACACATTGGTGCAGGACGCCATGCAGGACGCCCGCGAGCGCAGCATGACTGAGCAAGAGTTTCAGGACGAGTTCGACCGCGTGAACTTAGACCAGACGCTGCCGTATGAGGAGGGCGCGGCTGCAGCAGTGAGCCACCTGCGCGCCAAGGCGTCGCCACCCGAGGAGCGGCAGCCAGCCGAGGGGCAGCGCGCAGAGAAGCAGCCCGCCGAGGAGCAGCGCGCAGAGAAGCAGCCAGCCGAGGAGCAGCGCGCAGAGATGCAGCCAGCCGAGGAGCAGCGCGCAGAGATGCAGCCAGCCGCGGAGCGGCGCGCAGCGAAGATGCAGCCAGCCGAGGAGCAGCGCGCAGCGAAGATGCAGCCAGCCGAGGAGCGGCGCGCAGCGAAGATGCAGCCAGCCGAGGAGCCGAGGAGCAGCTTGCCGCCCCCGGCCGCCCCGAGTCCTGCGACGCCCCCTGGCCCGCCTCCGCCCACGCCCTCGGTGGGGCAGATCGATTCGGACGAGGACAGGAGGGCCAAACGGACAGCAACATGACCTGGTCGGGTGGTGGGCTCCTCACCCGAGGAGCCCATGACCACAGTGATTGTTGCGTTCGCTTGGTCTCCTCAGGAGCCGCTGCAAGCCATTGCCACCACTTCGCCGAGGTCGCGCCCGAGGTCAGCGAGCTGGGTGCCAGCGCCAGAGACGCCGCAGCTGGCGGACACGCCATCGTACAATCCAGCGGACTCGGGCTCGCAGCTGCCGCTCGGGCTCTCGCATCAGACTTCGGACGAGCAGGAGAGGCCAGTGCTGCCATCCTTCAAGCGGTCGCTGACAGACGATGTGCAAGTGGAGACCAAGAAGTCCAAAAGGTGGCAGAGTAATCGCCTCGTGAGCCCGCCACGCGTGGAGGAGCGCGTGCCAGCGCATCCGCGCTCGCAGCGGCCGCTCACGGCACCGCCGCAGCTGGTGGGCCAGCGCCTGCAGCAGCCAATCGAGAGCAGCCACATCAACAAGCAGCAGGCGATGACAGCGCCGAGCATCGACCAGATGGCGCGGGCACCTCTCGATGGCAACTGCGGCATCAGCAAGGAGCAGCTGGTGGAGAAGCTCAAGCAGGAGTTCGACGAGCTGGTCGCATCCGACACGGGCGCGGACTTGGACGAGATGGGCAAGACTTTCCAGGGCTTCTACAAGGGCTCCTTGATCGTTCAGCTGAGCGCGATGCGCCCTGAGACCGCGGAGAAGCCTCTGGATGACGACTTCGGCGCCGACCCGAAGGAGTCGGCTCTTGACAGGGAGGAGCGCCTCATGTGGGAGTCCTTGGAGGAGAAGGCGTTCAAGTTCAGCACGGAGAAGAAGAAGGGCAACGCGATCGCGGGCAGATGGGCCAGAGTGATGGAGACATCGAACGAATGGTCTGAGAAGTACCTGGCGGCGGAGGGCTACCCAGCCAAGAAGGCGGTCCGCGAGGAGTGGGCGAAGTGGTCGTTCCACAGGTGGCAGAAGAAGCGGGAGTTCAGCAAGACGCAGACGAACATCAAGAAGCAGACGATGAAGGGCGTCTACATGCCGCTGGCCAGGCTGGCGTGGAAGTTTGGCGGGGGGTCCACTGGTGCCAAGCTGGCATACACATATGCTGGGAAGGCAGTGCTAATTGGGTGCATCTTCACGAAGTGGTGCAACATGACGGGCTGCCTTTTCCACCTCTACGTGGGGCACTCGTTGGAGGACACGTGGCAGCAGAGCTGGACCAGCCACGAGGTCTGGATGGAGTCGGGCTGCGTCGGCGGCCAGCCACCTCCTGGCGCCGATGGCGTGGCCAGCGCGCCATGCACTCCGCTGCCGCGCCCTGGTGCCGAGGCGTCCAGCGAGGAGAAGCAGGCAGCCGCAGCAGCGACGGGCGGCCCTGGGAACGAGGCCACCAGCGGCAAAGGAGGCGACGGCGAGGGCAACGGCAACAAGAAGAAGCTCGCCGTGAAGGCGCCCGAGTGGATGAAGGACTTCCGCAAGCTGCGCACAATGTTCGCGCAGTACACATCCCAGGCCCACGGGGGGGCACCGCTTTGATGGGGGAGAGCCAGGGCCGAGTGGCGACGGTGAGTTCGACGACGCCAGCGGCGCGATGATAACCGACGCAGCCGATGCGATGAGGATAGCGACGACAACGGGGAGTTGGGCCGAGAGGAGCGATGAGGCGGACGAGGGAAAGGTGGAGGAGGAGGATGAGGATCAGGATACGAATGAGAACAACGCGAAGTGCGGGGTGGGGGGACAAATGAGAGGTGGACGATACGTCATGTCGGAGCGGGCGGGGTGAGACGCAGGAGCAGGACGGGATGGCAACGTGACTGGAGTTATAAGAGAGAGAGAGAGAGAGGAGAGAGAGAGAGAGAGAGAGCGAGAGAGAGAGAGAGAGAGACAGAGAGCGAGAGAGAGAGAGGGCGAACAAGAGAGAGAGTGAGAGAACGAAAGAGAGAGAGAGAGAGAGAGAGAGAGAGAGAGATAGAGAGAAAGGTATGAACGATAATACAGAACGAGAGGGACGAGGAGGCGTGAATACGATGATGAGGAAGTGCATGGGCGAGGGCGGGGAGACGGGAAGCGGGCTGAGAGGGTGGGATGGGGCATATATTCATGGGGCGTGGTGGTCGAGCTTGGAGTCGGGAGCGATAGGCGTGCGATGGCGAGACGGAGAGTGATATGCGATAACAGCGAACATGTCGCGTGGAAGGGGAGGTGTCCACATTGGAGGCGCTGATCAAAGCGGACGCAGCTGAGGGCACGAACGAGTGGAAGTTCGCAGCAGGGAAGGAGACCAGGGGCGAGCTGGACAATGCTATCAAGCAGGTGCCCTGGGGGGGTTGCGCACGTGCCCCGCCTCTCCTCGCCCCCTGCCATCCGGCCTCCCATCCATTCCCAGAGCAATAACGGCTAACCCCAACTATGTCCTCACCATTCCCGTTCATTTGCATCCAGGCATCAAACGGCGCCCCGAGAGGGTCTACAGTCAGCCTATACTGTTTCCGAGAGGTCCCCAAGAGCCCCCCAAGAGGCCCCCAAGACGCACAAAGAAGATATGACGCCCACCAGGAAGCCCCCACGCCCTTCGAGCATGGGCGCGCGTTCGACTCGGCGCTGGATGCGCGCCGCGCCGAACGCGCACGCTGGACGGGGCTTGGTCGCGCCCATGGTCGCGTCCATGGTCGCGTCCATGGACGCGACCATGGACGCGTCCAAGCCCCGTCCAAATCCAAGACGGTGCTGCCGTTCAAAATGGCGGGGTTGCAACGCGATCACGAATTATCTGCGAAATCTGCCCCCTCCCCCCCTCCCCGCCCACCGCCGCCGCCGCGCATGGACTGACCCCGTCGAAACAGCATTGTTAACGCCATCGGCGCACTATGTGGCACCATGACGACTACCAACCCCGAGGCCCTCGCCCCCCCCCCCTGCCCTGCTCCACCCGTCTCACGTGCGTAGCCATTTTGGCTGTTTGCGGCTCGCCACTCCCGCGGAGCATGGCGCAGAAGCGCTCGCGGTGCAAGGGGTCCGATGAGCTGGAGGCCGCGCTGATCAATCACTTCAAGGAGGCGGATGAGCTGGACTACCCGCATGGGCTCGCAGACGACTGCGACCCTGACGTGTTGAGCGAGTGGGAGGACATGCTCTTGGACGTCCGCAGAGCCATGCACCCTCACATGGCCATATCGCAGTCGAAGGCCATCCAACTCTTCGAGAAGGTCCTCGAGGAGAACGGTGCTGCGTGGGCCCTCGGTGACGAAGAGAAGGACTGGACGACGTCCATGGCGAAGATGCTTCGCGCCATGTTGAGGCACGTCCAACAAGCGGTGCTGAAGAACATGAAGCGCGAGGGGCGCTATCCCGACTCCTGCGCGCGGGTGCAGCCCTTCGTTGAGCAGATGAAGAAGCTCGACGCGGCGAAGGACGCACCAGCCGCCCATTTGCGTGGGCGATAGGGCGCGGACGGGCGCAATGCCCATGGTGGCGGGATATGGCCAGAAGGCGTGGAGACGGGAGAAACCCGCGGCCATGGTCATCGCACAGTCCGCGCAGCATCGCCCATGCAGCTGCGCTCGCCAGAGGAGCCGACGTACACGTACTCTGTTGACATGGTCACCAAGAGAGCGTACCGCCTGGACCAGAGCATTGCCAACCCAGCGCCAGAGTACGCCATGCCGCTCCAGGACGACCCCCTGGCCGCCGACCACGACGAGGTGATCGCCAAGTTCAGGGGCGGCGCCAGCGCGGTCATCGCGGGCCTTGTGTACAAGACCATCAGGGAGTGGAAGCAGTTGGACAATGGTGGCAAGTGCCAGAAAGGTAGCAACATTATCGTCGAGCTGGTCAGTGGCACGTCCAAGTTCCAGCTGAGCAAGTGGACGAGGAATGGCAGCCCCGAGATGGGGATCTGGGAGTTTCCGAAGCAGGGCAAGAAACGCATGATCGTCAACTTCGTGCCCCACGCGGGCATGGTTGGGCATGAGGAGATGCTGGAGAAGCAGGCAAGACTGCTGGCGGCTGGGAAGACCACCAAGGAGGAGATCGAGGTGATCAAGCGCGCATTCATCAAGAAATTCAAGGATGAGCAGAAGGAGACCGATACGGCGAACGTCTGCCCCATGAGACGACCAGCAGCGGCCGCGGCAAAGAAGACGAGCAGCGCCGCCAAGAAGCCCAAGCAGGTCGTTGATCAGGGCCTTGATGATTTCGACGGCGACGAAGATGCCGACGAACTTGCCGATGTGGAAGGCTCACAGGACGACGACCAAGAAGATGCATCCGAGCAGGCTGACGAGTCGGCGGGGATGTCCAACGATGAGAAGAGCGACCACGCGGACGGCAGGGGCGGCAAGGGCGACGAGGCCGGCACGGGCAGCAGGGGTGGCAAGCGTCACAAATTAGACTCGACCACCATCGCCGATGTCAAGGCTGGCATGCTGAAGCGACCTGCAGCATCAGGCCCCCGCTGCACAAAGACGGCGCCGAAGCGCGCGCCAGTTCCGCCCAGGGACACTGCTGGAGAGGAGGCGGCATCCCATGAGGCACGCGCAGATTTCGGTAGCCCGCGCCCGTCGCGTAGGCGGCGGATCAGCGCCAAATCACCTGACGTGCACGGCAGAGCTGAGTCGCCCAAGGCTGCGCCATCGGCCGATGCACCGACGCCGCCGCCACCGCCCCCGCCGCCTGCTGGCAAGACCTTGGACTCACCCCTGGCCGCGCTGGGCGCCAGGGCCGCCGCGGGCGACCTGCCCCGCGGCGCCGCCGACGCTGGCCCAGGCGATGTTGAGATGGAGATCTTCGGGTCTGGTGGTGGGCTCTTCGGCGCCATGTCGAGCTTCAGGCACTAGTGCGCGGGCGCCGCAAGAGACGGGCCGCTCAGTCAAACTAGCCACGGCGCAGCGCAGTGCGACACTCCGGTGCAAGCTGGGGCGCGCCTTGACCAAGAAGTCGTGACAGTCGGTCATGTTTGCCCATTGTTGGAATCCACATGTCGCTCCACCTTCCCTCTTCCCCCCCGCCCCCCCTTCCAGTCGCGTCGTCTCTGGGGCTCGCCGCCCCATCGGCAACATTCGCGCGTTCCCATCCTGAACTCCGAGGTTACGTCATAGTTCCCTCCTCCACTCCATGGCCCATTCACACTTGCACCAACGCCAGCTGTCTTCATTTTTCGGAGACACCCTGAGGGCCGTCTGACGAGGCGGAGGAAGCACGCGGCGAGACGGCAACATGCGAGGGGGCGAGGACAATTGGTGGAGAGGCGGGCGGGAGCATGACGAGTAGCGACGAGGAACAGGGAAAGGCGAGTCATGCGGTTGTGACACGGCGCACCCCCCCTTCCCTTCATCTACCATTCCCCCTTACACCCGCTCGTCCCTGCATTGCCCCCGCCATCCCCTTATATCGCCATTCCGCCGTTCTCAAGATCACGCTGATCGAACTGTGACCCCCTGCCCCCCCGTGGTCACCCTCCTCGTCGGGGCCCCACTGGTCAGGCCAATGGTTGTTCGCGCGAATCCCAACCAACCCATCCAGAAGCCCCGCCCACGAGAGCTGACGGGAAATGAAACGCATATACGCATATAGTGAACCAGCGCAGTCAACGAGAGGAAGGAGAATGCGTTGAGTCACGTCGGGGGGCTTATCGTTGAGCATCGAAGGTCTCCTTGGGGCGGTTGGACCTTTCGGGGGCGTCGCGGAGTCCTCTCGGGGCTCTGTGGCGGGTATACGAGTGCCCCTTTGAGGCTCGTTGGGTGGCGCGCGAATTCGCATGGGGCTTTTTGTGTGCGCGTGCGGGCCCTCGCCCGTCGTGGGGTTCCCGCGGTGCTCTCTCGGCGTTCTCTTCGGAGCTCTGGGGCGTCTCCTGGGGCCATCTTGGATGCCGTCGATCCACGGAGGGGGTGCCACATGTTCGCCGCCCTGCTGGGGTCATCTGAATAGTCTCTCGTGGGGGTCTTGTGCGCCCGCGGGACCGTCGCGGGGGCTCACGGGCCCCTCTTCGAGTTCTCTTGAGCCATCTTGGGGCTGCCTTGAAGCTTCAAAATCGCATCGGAGGCGAGAAGGAGGCGACGCCGACATCGTTGTTCCCCCTTATGGTTTTCGAATGATGCTGGCTACTCGGGGAAATCCTTGGGGGTCTCCAAAAACGGTTGGATCCGTCGCGTGGCCTTCATGGTGCCTCTTGGCGCCATGTTGGCTTTTTGAGCGATCTTGGAAGCCAAATTGGGCTCTTCCAGGCCCTCGTGGAACCGTCTTGAGCCATCTCGCACGCCCTGGCCGCTCGCGACCCTCCCCGCCCAGGTCTTTGGGCGGGCAACGGGGGCGGGGGTGCAAACGTCCCCCCAAAGGGGATGAGGGGTTTTCTCGGAAGGGGGGACGCTGGTTCGTTGGACCGCCTGTCGCGCATGAGGCTGGCGGGATATCTGCGGTCGCGCGCCCCCATGGCTGTGGACAGAGGGTGAGTGACGGGGTCAGGCAGAACGGGTTTGGGCATCGCATAGAGGGGAGGTGGAGTTGGAGCTCAAAGTCTCCATCAACAGGGAGTGCATGACCACGAAGAACCTCAATGAGGTCAAGAAGCGGATGACCGACGCCGAGTTCGAGGTGCTCATCAAAAAGCTGAACCAGGATCGGGGGCGCCTCTTGCTTGCCTCCCCAGGTCGCCTCGTCCACTATCAGCCCTCCCCCCCGACCATTCGCTCGTGCGGCTCACCATTATCACGTGGCCCGCCGCTCTCGGTTCCCCGAACTCCATCCGACCCTCTCAAGAACCCGCGCACCATGGTCGCCCAACATGTTCTCGTGGCGGGCCAGTGCCGCGCCCCGACCCCCCCCCCCCAGGAAATCCTAGACGCTTCGCGCATCCCCGCCAGCCCACCCAGAAACGACGCCCATGCGAGTTGAGAGGCGATCAGAAACGTGCTGGAGCAAAGAAGGGGGCGGCTGGACCGCGCGGCGGAGAGAGGGGGCGAATGATATTATTAGATGGTTGGATGGATGGATGAGGGAGCATGGGGAAAGATGATGAATGTGATGGGGAGGAGGAAGTGGGGGGCGAGGAGGATGGTAAGGGATGGGAGGGGGAAGGGGGATGAGGAGGAGGAGGAGGACGAGAGCAAGCAAAATGGCTAGATGTCTCTTGGATGCTTCTCGGAGCCTCGTGAGGTATCTTTGGGGCGCCTTGGGGCGTATTGGGGGTCTCTTGGCGGTCGTTGTGGGCTCTTCGGCGTTCTGGGTGCATCGGGGGGGAGGTGGGGGTGGGGGCGCTTGGGGTCCTCTTGGGGGCCTCCTGAGGGCCTCCTGGGGGCCTCGTGGGGCAATCTTGGGACCTCTCGGTGCCTCCTGTGCGCTTCTGTGGGCCATCTCGGATGAGATCGATCAATAAGCGGGTGCATTAAATAGCGCCCCCCCCCCCTCCCTCCCGACGCCAAACATGGGGCCAACAATAAAACACATGATGTTGGCTTCCTCGCCGAAGCCGTTTTGGGCACTCCAGCGACTCGCGGACCCCCCCCCCCGCCCAGGTCCTGGGGCGGGGGTGGGGTGGGGGGGCACGCCCCTCACCGAAGGGTAAACATGGGGGGTGGAAGATGAGACTGCCTAAATCACATACGCGCAGAGGGCCGGTGGGATTCACGCGCAGAATTGCCCCTCAGAGCTACCTGCACCGCAGTGTACGCATGGTTAGGATGATTGGGAGCGATGGGGGGCGCGCGAGGACGTCACCCCGACGGTGGAGAGGGCCATGGCAGAAGTCGCGTCGATCTGCCGCCAGAAGGCTGCCCGTGCCCCGAAGGAGACGAAGAAGAGGAAGGCCCCTGCAGCTTGAGCCTAGGATGTAGTAAGCAGTTTTTGCGGCTGGCGCAGGCAACGCCCCAACCGACCCTCACCGAACCGCAAAATCCATGAAACTGCCAGAAAACCCTCCCCGAAACGTAAAATCGAGTACAAATAACGCCAGAACGCCGACCAAGTACCGTCCAAGTACCGTCCAAAACGGCTACCGTCCAAGTACCGTCCAAAAAAGGCGAAAACCCTGTAAAAACACATGTAAAACCCATGGTCATGCCACCACCGCACCGACCAAGTACCGTCCAAGTACCGTCCAAGTACCGTCCACAAACGCCCCCCCCCCCCCCCCGTCCGAACCCAATTGTGGCGGCGTTCGAGCCCTCGCTGGTGGCCGAACCGTAATTTTAGCCCCGTCGCCGTGTAAAAACCATTGCCCGTGTGGACAGGGGGGGTGCGAATCTATGTTTTCGGCTAGTTTTCTGCGGATTTGGCATCTGGAATGCGCGGGTGTAGGGCGGATGCCAGCGGTAGAGGGGGGTGATATCCGAGAATCTGGCAGTTGGGGGTTGCCGCGCCATCATGCGCAGATTCATGAGCGCGCTGTGTGCCTAGTCCCAGGCTCTGGGGTTATGCTGGCATGGCCTCAGCGTTCTCAGCTGGCGAGTGG